TTTGCGGTTGGCGGCGGGCGTTGCGGGCGTTTTTTTGCGGCGGTGTTTGCGTTTTTTGCGGTTTTTGTGTTTGGCGGCGGGCGGGCGGGCGATGCGGGTGTTTTTGCGGTGTTTGCGTTTGGCGGCGGGCGGCCGTTTTTGCGGCGGTGTGTGGCGGTTGGCCGTTTCTTTTGCGGCGTTTTGCGGTTTGCGGCGGGCGGCTTTCTGCAGCGTTTTGCGGTCGCCGGCGGCCGGCCGTTATTTGCGGTGTTGCGGTTTGCGGCGGGCGGTCGTTTTTTGCGGCGTTTCGCGGTTGGCGGCGGGCGATGCGGTTTTTTTTTGCGGCGGCGGGGTTTGCGTTTTTTTGCGGTTTTCGCGTTTTGCGGCGGACGGGCGTTTTTTGGCGTTTGGGGTGCGTGCGATGCGGGCGGTTTTGATTTTTTTGCTGCGTTTTTTGAGTTTTTTTTTGCGGTTTTCGCGGGCGATTTTTTTGCGGCATTTGCGTTGGCGTTTTGGCGTCCGTTTTGCGCGTTTTGCGGTGTTTGCGTTTGGCGGCGGGCGGGCGGTTTTTCACAATTCAAGTCCCAACCTTCGGATCCGCAGTGCTGTTCGACAAGCGCTGCCCGGGCCTATCCGAAGGTTGGGACTTTTCAATTAGACAATCACTATTCTTTAGAATTGTGATTTTCTATTGAAAATCCCAACCTGAGCTACCTCTCTAGGGGGGTGTTTAGCGTTTCTGCCGCGATTTTGGTCATTTTGATCCCCGCGAAAACGGATAGTTAGATTTTCTTGCCATTTTCACCGTTTGGTCCCGTGTGGGGGAGCTACCTGCTGGCAAAGTTACAAAAAATATAATTGACACGTTTTGGGGTAATCGGCACGTGCATTTTCCCATAGGGTTAACATGGGGAAAAATTGAAAATGCGATTTGCGCAAAATCTGTTCAGTAATATTTGTCCACTTTTTTAGGGTCAGTTCTTGGGCTGGCACCCCACCCGTCGGTGGTAACCGTTTAAAATATAATTAGAGAACTTTCGGGTAATTGGCACAGACAGTTACCCCATGTTGAGCCTATGGCGATTTCGAAAAATTATTTTGAAATCGATTTGGCAAAAAATTTCCACGTTAGATTTTTAAAAATGCTCCAATATGTTGTGCCCCGGGGTTTCGGCTACCACATGGTATGGGTCAGATATGGGGCGATTGAAAAGCACGTGCCACGTGCAAACGTGTTTGATGGGGTAACCTCCGGGAAAATCCGACATTGACCAGCTTGGGGTCCTATGGCGGGGAAACCACTCCACCTAGCGACACCAAATCAACGCAGCCGGTGAGCAGATGAGTCCAGCTTGTCGCACTAGTAGTCACGTGGCGCACGTGCTATTGCACGTGCCGTGGCATGGGGTCAATTTTGGTGCTTAAATATACTAGCATTGTGAAATACAAGGAATGGGGGAAATAGCCGTCAGACCGTCAGTTTTTATGATAGGGTCGATCTGAAAACGGGTATGGACACAGAATGAAGGGGGCTAGAAAACTGCTATCTCGGATTTTTTGTAAAATGAAAAATTTAAAATTCTAGGGAAATTATATATTCGAAAGGTGAAATTTCCCTAAATTTTCCCGTTTTCCAAGTTTAGCCGTCCACTGTTCAGAGACGGTGACACCGGCCGGGGTCATCTTTTACATGCCGATGGCCACTTGTATTGGTCATGACGTGGCGTGAGCCGTTAAGCTGTCAGAGGTCCGGCACGTGCCACGTGGCCACGTGTTTGAGCCAAGTACCTCCCACTTATTGGTGTTTTGGCCAACTGGTGGCCGTATAGCGTGGAAACAGAACCAGCCAAGAACACTAAATTGGGTCAGTCGGTGAGGGGACAAGTCCTGTTTACACCACCGGTGGTCACGTGGCACACGTGCAAATCTGGGCACCTCCGTTGCGGAGATATTTTATAGTGAAATATTCAAATAAACATAACTTTGTCAGTTTATGTCCGATTGGGCTAGAATTTGATGGGTGGACGAATTGTTAAGCGACAGGAACGAATGCGCCAAGTTTGTTGCAGTGCGCCACGTTTGTCTCAAAGCGCCATTTTTGCCGCAAAGCGCAGAATGTGCGTAACTTTGTCGAACATGGGACGATTAGGATGCGCTGATGGAGGGTTGGTTGCTTAAACAGCAGATATGAATGCACCACACTTGCCGCAAGGCGCCATATTTGTCTTAATGCGTCAATGTTTGCGTTTTGCGGACGGCGTGCGTTTTTTTGCGGCGGTGTTTGCGTTTTTTGTGTTTGCGTTTGGCGGCGGGCGGCCGTTTTTGCGTTTTTTTGTGGTGTTTGCGTTTCGCGGCGGGCGGCCGTTTTTTGCGGCGGTTTGCGGTTGGCGGCGGGCGGGCGTGCGGTGCGGGTGTTTTTTCGGCGGTATTTGCGTTTTTTTGCGGTTTTTGTGTTTGGCGGCGGGCGGGCGGGCGATGCGGGTGTTTTACGGTGTTTGCGTTTGGCGGCGGGCGGCCGTTTTAGCGGCGGTTTGCGGTGGGTGGCCGTTTTTTGCGGCGTTTTGCGGTTTGCGGCGAGCGGTCGTTTTTTGCGGCGTTTTGCTGTTTGCGGCGAGCGGCCGTTTTTTGCAGCGTTTTTTGTGGTTTGCGGCGGGCGGCCGTTTTTTACGGCGCTTTGCGGTTGCCGGCGGCCGGGCGTTATTTGCGTTGTTGCGGTTTGCGGCGGGCGGCCGTTTTTTGCGGCGTTTCGCCGTTGGCGGCGGGCGATGCGGGCGTTTTTTGTGGCGGCGGTGTTTGCGTTTTTTGCGGTGTTTGCGTTTTGCGGCGGACGGGCGTTTTTTTTGCGGCGTTTTTTGCGTTTTTTTTTCTGCGGTTTTCGGCGGGCGGTTGATTGTTTTTTTGCGAAGTTTGCGTTTGCGTTTTGGGCGTGCGTTTTGTGGTGTTTGCGTTTGGCGGCGGGCGGGCGGTTTTTCACAATTAAAGTACACCTGGTACTGAGAGTGGAGCTGCTGGGCGAGCAGGATCAACAGCATAAAGTGCACCATCCAACGCACAAGAGGCATGAGGAGCTGGAGGTGTCTTTCTCTGGCTGCCTTACAGTTCTCTTTTGCTCTTTTCCCTGTCAATGCTCGCCCGGAGTTGACCCGTCTTCCTTTGGTTCCATTACCGCTTTCTTTTGCTTTTTTTCCTCCCAATCCGTGTCCGGTCTTCTCCAAAACATCTTCAGTGTTGTTCAGATCGTCTCCGACACTTCCATCAGGATTCTCAACAGTCAGTTTATCAATTTCCTGCGGGATATGCCAGGCGGGCTGAACTTTATTGGACTTTTTAGGAGATCGAAAAGATGCGGCACTCGAAGAACGTACTGTGCGTTGTTTGTCGGACTTGGAAGATTTCCAGCGTGGATGGATCGCCGACATGGTTTCTGCTGATGTGTTACACACTGGCTTAACTTTTCATTATGGGTGACAGTCACAAACTCGATCTGAAAAGGAAGGCACGTTTTACTTTATTAGCAAAAAGTAAGATCAAACGATCATTAAGATAATTGACACCGTCCTGATAAAGTCACATTGAATGCTTGCTTATTTGAAGCATCGGCAAATCAAAACTCTCATCCAGAACATAGAAACAAACAGGGAAACGTTTGCTTACAAACATCATAAAACCTATCAATTCGGGTAGGAAGCGACTTCCAATTAAAAATTGCTACTCTCATCTCCACACTGTCACATCATCCCCAATTTTCAGACACATTCCACCTCATCTATCGACTTCATCTAGTCAACATTATCTTACCCTTATTGTCAACACCCACAGATAACAGTAGTACTACTGTTATCTGTGCAGCACCCATGACCCAAGTCAAAATGAATGTTTGGGAAGCATGTTCACCTCTCAATCACCTACCGTCCACGGCTGCTCTGAACTCTGCTGTCGCTGAATCGTCGTCATCCAGCGATTATATACTCATAAATTGACATCGTCGCAGCTTATCGCCGGGTGTACCGACAATCGAATTCTGACATTTCACGTCCGAGAGGCTTTCTCAAAAGAGCATTCAGTCTGACATTGCATAGCGCAATTCAGTATCCTAACGCTAATGAAATTTCAACACGCCGCCAGCAGCGTTAGCTGTTGTCATGACAACCGCTGTCATCATGGCAACGGCAGGTTGATGTCAACGCAGAGGCGACGTGTGCTTTTAGTTTGACGTTAATCATTGAAGTTGCCGCTCTACGTATGTGGGGCGAGGTTCCCCCCAAAGCGGCGACCTATCCGGTTGATCTTAAGTGGTCAAGTCAATGTTCTTTAAAACGCTATGTAAGCTCGTCACGTTCGAAGAGACGGGCTTCGTCTAATGGCTTTCGATCATGCATACACTTTAGCATGTTTGCAGTTGGAATGGTGTCGACAGAGGTAACAACACAATATGATGACGATATTTCGTGGTCATTGGTGGGGATAAGTCAGCTCCAAAATATTTCAACTCTCCGCAATATACTAGTATGTACTAGCTGTACATATATTCCTCCCCGTTGCTGACGCTTATGTTCGGACGCTGTGCTCTCTCCGCGACCTGGTAATATTGCTTTTCGTTTTACACGACTCACAACGGAGTCCATAGGACAATGTCCTCAGTGACAATCTTCCCTCCTTCTCTCAGGTCAACACAAGGTCCCCTTGATGCCCGCACCCTTCGTTGTCGGCATTCAGGGTTGACTGAACGATATGTATTTGGATGTGTTCCGCGCATTGCACTCCTTCAGCCTTGCCACCCAGGTTCACACCGTAGACTATGTGCGTCCCTAATGACACATCCTTTCTCTTTCCCCACACGTCTAAATCGTAGAAAAGGTGTACTCCCTACTGACATATCCCTTGTCTTCCAACACAGATTCAAACTGTGGACGAGTTCGTGACCCCCGTGAGCCGCAATGCATTTCTTACCCATCAGCAACACATATGCTCTGGCTTAATGATGTGCTCCCCCCAGTGACACACCTTTCTTTTTCCCTCAGGTCCAAACCGTCGACGAGGTCTATCCGATAGAGGTCCAGCCTGCTCGCGTCCTCGGCAAGCTCTTCACACATCTCGGTCTCAACAAGAAGCTCTGTCTGTCCGGCCGAACCACACTCGACGTGGGTAGCCTCGGCACCAGCATCCTCTACTCCCTACAGGGTCAGGTCTTCGCGTTCACACCCCAGTTCCTAGACATGGATCGGTTCTTCTTCGCTTCGGATGCACAGCTTGTCATCGACATTCTCGGGAGTGAGATCTTCTTCCTGCAGAGTGCTTGGACGAATATGATGGGAAGGCCGCTGGTAACGATTGTCTTCCAAGAGAGGCTTCTGGAGGATGGCATGGTCCCGGCGCCCTATGTACAGACCTTCCGCAAGATTAAGACGGGGTATCTCAACGCTACGAGGGTGACCCTCGGGACGATTCGAGACTTCGTCAACACGTCATGCCTCTCGAGTCTGGAGTTCCTGAATGATCATGAAGCGGGAAGATCGGACAGTCTGAAGCCTGAGGTTCGCCAGTATCTCGACCATCACCTCCGCAAGGCGCTGGTCGTGAGGAGGTCCTCGGCTCTGGATGGGATCCGACCCGGCATCCGCCCGCAGACTTCCCTCACGAGAAAGATGAGCCATCGAGGTGCGGTCCGTCGCACGAGGAGTGTGTATGGTGACGACACTCTCCCTCCAGCTTCTCTAGACTCTGCGTTCTGTCTGACACGACGCAAGTCCATCCGCCGGGCTTCGCTCTCCGTCGCGCAAGACGACAACCTCGATCGGGTTCCCGAAGACGAAGCACTCGCCGATGCGACCGCGCGTGCTCGTCTGAACAGTGACGAGGTTGGTGATCCTCCCGAAAGCTTCCACGGAGTTCGTACCGAATCTGACGTTCAGTATGACGATGTTGGAAATGAAGACCTCATCACCATGCTTCGTGACACACATGATCTCGAAGAACGCGGCGACATCCTGCACTTCCTGGCTGTCGCCAACGGACTTGGCTTCCAGCTGGACCTCGGTGGAAGAAGGTTCACCGTACGAGAGCTGTACGATGACCTATATGAGTCGGCTTGTAGACAGAAACACTGGGCTATGGTGCGGCATACAGCGGGCATGCTGGGAAAGAAGATGGCCGACCTGGCGGAGGCCGTCACCGCGATGTTGGTCCGGCAGAAGCAGATCACGGTAAGTGAAAACGGGGAGGGACTTGTGTGATTTAGTTTGGCAAATCTAAGAAAGAATGGAGTTAAAACGCTTAAATCTTTTTGCAAGCGTTTTGCTAACTGCAAATGTGTGGGTGGTTAGGAAAAAAGTTGGCTGAGCCGCGAGGAGAAAAATGTTCTCGGATACATTGAAGGCAGAAGAGAGGCAGGCTCATCCATGGCTGTTGCGCTTTAAATCCGTTCTTTATTAGGTTTGCCAGACTATCGTAATAAATGCATTGGATCACTTACTTTAGCATTTATTCTAGCAATCCGTTTCAGTGTATATGATTAAATTTGGTTGCGTTTTCTCATCATCTCATTCGTCTCATTTTCCCATATTTTTTCGACTTTGTTTATCACGTTAATTTGTTTATTTGCTCTTACGATTCGCTCGCTCATCCATTCAATCCTATATGATCTTGTTTATTGTGTTCGGGTTTTGTTCTGACATTGATCAGATGCTCTTCATTTGGGCTACACAAACCTGTGGCCTGCCTTGTATCCTCAGTACACCATCTCCTCGCTAGTCAACAGCGTTCCCTCCCCTCATCGTTCAGTAACCCCTCAGTACAGTGGTCAATGCCTCTCCTCCCCGACCCTCGGCCGTTGCCCTCTCTGAGTGTTGTTTTGGTTTGTCCGCCGCTGCTCTGTGGCGGTAGAGAGGAGGGGAAGGGAGAGAGAGAGAGAGAGAGAGAGAGAGAGAGAGAGAGAGAGAGAGAGAGAGAGAGAGAGAGAGAGAGAGAGAGAGAGAGAGAGAGAGAGAGAGAGAAGAAGAGAGAGAGTGAGAGAGAGAGAGAGTGAGAGAGAGAGTGAGAGAGAGAGAGAGAGAGAGAGAGAGAGAGAGAGAGAGAGAGAGAGAGAGAGAGAAGAGAGAGGAGAGAGAGAGGGGCGGTGAGCGGCCTAGTTCCGCCCCTCCGCTGGCCTATTGGGACCTCCTAGGACCATCTGTGCTTGCCGACAATGAACTGCATCGCTCGGTCGGACTATGTCGTCTGAACTTTGGCTAGATGTTGGGTGTTTACTGTTAACGCTTGCGAGCGGCGATGTAGGCGTGGGTTGAGTGGTGTGCTGTGGTATGCACACGCACCAAAACAGGAAATGTAGGCGTCGGCGTCCGACTGTGTGCTCTCTCTCTCTCTCCTCTCTTCTCTCTCTCTCTCTCTCTCTCTCTCCTCTCTCTCGCTCCCTCTCTCTCTCTCTCTCTCTCTCTCTTTCTCTCGTCTTTTTTAGAT